TATATATTCCTTCAACACTTTTTAGTCTTGAAGAGATCACAGCATTTTCATTATCGAAATTCGCTGAGTCCAGTTGGTTATTGTTTTTGTCCTGCAGGGACCTTTATGCGAAGAAACCGATCTCAGTGAAATTCGAAATACCATATTTTACGGTCAGCGGGCTAACTGTAAGGTATTTGAAAATTGTGGAGAAATCAGGGTAAGACTTGCGGTGTTAAAATCTTGATAGAGTTTCCCGATATTTTAGTGGAGTTTCACGACTACCCGTTTAACGTGAAGTGGCGTAATACTTCACGTGATTTATAGAACGTGTATGTTCCAGCGAGCGATAACGCAAATTGTTTTTCACGGAGGGAATTGTGAAACATATTTTCCCACTAGTGTTTTTCATATAACGGGTGAAACTCCGATGAACACAGCCGAGCTGTCTTCGCTTTAGGAGGTTAATAGTGTTCATTCATGGTGGTGTTTGAAAAACTATTATGAAATGTATGGATCACGCTATAGCCGTTGATGGAATATTTGAATCGGAGTAGGAGGTAAATATGCACATGGTCAACTACATGTTCGGTGACAGTATGAAAATTATGAGAAAATTTTAGGAAATTCTTATTGGTTTATTTACATTTCTACCAGAGTTCCTATGTTAACTTGTATAATGTTCTGAGGAAACTCCTAAGCTCAGAAGCTGAGGAAAGTGAACATAAATTCAAACACTGATATGAACACCTGAGCGGAGACGGGAGGCTATTTCCATTGTTCCTCACGTGCTGATCTATATCGTTTATTATCATGATGTATGATATAAAGCACATAAAGCAAACTATAGTGGGCTGAGTGTATAACTACTATGTTTGTTGTTGGGAAACGATTTCATTTCATTCGGTGGTATGATCGTATTCCCCCCCCCCTACGGGGTGAATCCACAAGTTCTTTTCTGGATGTGAAAGCAATCTGTTTTTGAGAGATAACATTTCTCAGGGTTTGATAAAAATGGGGGAAAATGTTGCTAATGTGATGACATTTATATTAAAAACTGGTTGAAGGATGTGTTCCTAGCGATATGTGGAAAATTCAAAATGAAAAACTTGTAGGTTTCCGCATCTCGTCGTTGTAGTTGTCCAATTGTTAGATATCAAGCATTGCCGTGGGTACGGTATATAACACAGAGTGGTGACTATCAACTGAGGATGACCTGAGTTCTGTTGTATTCACATAAGTGTGTTTTTCAAAGTAATGAGTATTGAGTTGGTCAGTTTGGATGGTTAACTGTATCACAAATATCTGTCTCCAAATTTTCCGATCAGCGTGGCCCTAGGACAGATCTATATAAGGTTTCGCCGAGTAGGTTTTGCATAGAGTCAACGACTTTTACTCCCGACGAGGTTCCTTAGAATTTTGTTGAGTAAATTTTACATAAAGTCAACGACTTTTACTCCCGACGAGGTTCCTTGGGGTTTTGTTGAGTGAATTTCACATCAAGTTAACGACTTTTACGCACGACGAGTGTCTTAAAGTTCGGATCAATTCGCTACTATTCTGCTATGGTGAATCACAGTAGGAGGGAATATTGTAGTCGATGTGGAAGTGCTCAAGCCAACGGAATAATAAGTACAGAACTCATTGAATTGCTGGTTAATCGTAATCAATTTTGTGTAGGAAAATATGCACATACGGGGTTGATGACAAAACGAGTTGTGAGGAAATTTCAGAAAATTGTCGTTTTCTGCACACTTCTATTCGAACTCCTTAGGGAAATCAGCTGAGGACAGCGCACATATAAGGAGCGTATTTTTTCTTAGGCAAATTCAAAAAATCTGTGTTTCTGGTTAACGAATAAGAGTTTTGAGCTGAAACTTCAACAGGGTACAGTTATTATCATGATACATCACATGTTGAGTCGAAACGGTCATATTCGGAACGGTTACTGATATATCAGGGCGAGCGAAAAAATCATCTCCGCGAACCATGCAGCTTCCTTAGGCAACACCACTTGATCTCGTTATTATGCCACAGAAATCGCTTCTCACCGACACCGAGAAAGCCGTCGTAGTTAGGAGGCTTGCTGAAGGGGCTAAGAGCCTCGAAGTTGCGAAGGAGCTTGGAAGGGACCACCGTACTATCAAGAAGTAGGTGGAGGACCCTTCTAAGGTCCACCAGAGGAGGGGTGGGCCGTACGAGAAGTCTGTTACGCCACGGGAGAAGAGAAAACTCAAGAGATAGATGTTTCATGTTTGCGCAGATGAATTGATTTGTCCATTGAAGTATCATATACCTTGTAATGCTCTCTGGCTAGAGCTGGAACCAGTTTCCACCTATCGGCTGATGCCGCTGCCTGTTGTTGTCTCACGTTGATCAATTCCATGCTCTCTGAGTTGGAGGCCATGGTCTTCATCGCTCAGATTAAGCTTCGTGAGTAATAATATTTTACTAGTGCACTACTTTTTTTCATCCGGTAGTTTCATTCAGGTGCGTTTGCCAAGGCAACGAGGTTTCTTTTTGTACGCGGTACGGTGTGCCGGTAACGGCATTTTTATAGAAATAATTGATAGAAAGTTATTGTGATTTCGTGTGTGTCTCTAGTCTCCATAATTGTGTCCTAGCGTCAAGCTAGTGGACTCAGGTTCATAAGTAATTTATTGTTGTGGTTGTTATTGTTGCGGTTCTTCCCGATATCATTGAAGTTGCGTAAAGCTCTATTGTGGTATCTACCTTGTCATCAAGTTTATCACTTAGAACCTTTGTATACTTCGACGGTTAAGAGTCTTGAGTTGTATTACAACCGTCATAACGGTTCTCACTTCTGGCGTCTCAGGATTGCACGTGCCGTATACGCGTCTACCATGGTGAGAATGGTGATAATGAGGACCGTCCTCATTGTAGCATCCTGATGAAGGCATTTTCGTCTGACTTGGTAAGTGCGCCAATACTCAGTTTCAGTGATATTGCGGGATAGATCGATAGCGTGTATCCCGTGGAGTATCGTCGTGATTCAATCTTGTTCCAGGAATCCTTGAAGTTTTATTTGGATTTATGGTAGGCCGTTTTTCGCTCGGAAGGATTCTTATTTTGGTTTCAGGTGTGTTGGTTATCCTTACCGGTATCAGTGTGATAGAGGAGATTATGTTTGCGAGCGTTACATATTCGTCATACTAGGCCTTCTCGGAGAGGGGCGGAGCTCGCGTCATAAGCGCAAGAACGATTGACTCGATCGATTCCCGCGCCGAAAGTGGATGGCGCAGGCTCGATCCCCACGGACGTCATTTCTAACGCAATTAATTTTCGGCCGTTTTCGGAGCAGCTGCTGATGAGTTGGTCGAGTATGCAGGGCTTCATATTTTTCACAAGATCTCCAGACCGGGAGCTTTCGAATGGTGGTTCAGACGTTTTCAGATCCGTCCTGGATCGGGCTGGATAATTGCATACGCACGCACGCACGCACAAAGTTATCGTGAAGTGAGAGAATAAGCTCCGCTCGCTTCGCTCGCTCCGCAACTAAGTGTTAGCAAGCTTCTTGACTTGTTAGAGTCGGCGCACCTTTCACACGGTGTGATTACCTCTCGCAGTGGGTGCCCAGACGACAATAAGCTGCTTCAACAAACTCAACATGTGATGTACCATGATAATAACTATATCCTGTTGAAGTTTCAGCTCAAAACTCTTATTCGTTAACGAGAAACACAGATTTTTTGAGCTTTCCTAAGAAAAAAATACGCTCCTTATTAAAACTCTGAGTGTAACTACGCCGACGATAACATACTAACATACATTCACACGAATATGCTGAAGTGGTGCTACTGCAACGAGCTAAGACGTACAGTGTATGATCATCTGCGCCGCGAATTCGGGGAAAAGTCGTTTTTAATTCCATGCAGCAGAAATTATGAGAAAGCGTCTATGCTTGGCGCTTCTCGGCGACGATGATTTCAGTTGGAGAAATTCATAAGCCTTGTAGTCGTATGAATACGAAGTTTCTCCCTGTAACGTTATTACTATCATACTCAGTAGAGTGTCAGGTAACTGAGAACGATGATGATGCGGAAGGTCGGCTGAATGAACTCTTTGCATCGAACTCTATTGATTGCATCAGGAAATTCACTTGATGACAACGGCTTTTACAAGGCAGTGTCGTTGACCAAATACACCCCACTCGAGCGCTCTGTTGATTCGGAATTCCCCACATGTGATCTTCCCGTTGGTTCGGGCATGTGAGGATCTCGAGAATGTTCCGTGTGTAACGTCTTTGGGAGGTACACTGGTGTTTGTGTTGCGCCATCTTATTATAAGCATCGTATATCGTTCTGTACGGACTACGTATATTATCAGGCCTGTATACCGCCGCAACAGGTGAGAAGATATGAACATGGTCAACGGCATGTGTCGATGAGAATATGAAAAATCTTGAGGAAACTTTTATTGGTTTCTGTACACTTCTACCTATATTCGTAGTAATTTTGGAAACTCCTGAGCTCAGTAGCTGAGGAAAGCGATTACATATATTCATACTTCAACACTGTATAGGAAACTCCTGAGCTCAGCAGGTGAGGAAAGCGATTACATATATTCATACTCCAACACTGTATAGGAAACTGCTGAGCTCAGCAGGTGAGGAAAGCGATTACATATATTCATACTCCAACACTGTATAGGAAACTCCTGAGCTCAGCAGGTGAGGAAAGCGATTACATATATTCATACTCCAACACTGTATAGGAAACTCCTGAGCTCAGTAGCTGAGGAAAGCGATTACATATATTCCTACTCCAACACTGTAATAAGGTAATTCCTACTATGGAATATCACCTCGCACTTACTAACGTACGAATGTTTAGTTCATTATCACTTTCGAAGAATTGACAGTTCATTATAACGTAGTAGAAGAACACATTCAGATAGTAGTGATTCGAAAAAGAAGACTTCGAGTCGATACCCAAGTACTTCCATAAGCGCGTTCGGAAAAAATTGTTCTCATCCACATATTTTTTCGGCGATGTAGTGTTTATATATCATCTGAAGAAGCTCACTTCCTCAGCCCCTGTGGCCCGAGTGGGATGTTACAGCCAAAGACGCGGCTATTCGATCGGCTTTTAAAAAGGAAATCGATGAGAGAATCGCACGGGAAATCTCTGGGGAGGAGCTCGTCGAGGTGACATAGCTGTTGGGAGTGTTAAGAAACCAATGAAAAATTTCCTCTCAGAATTTTCATCTTGTCACCAAGTAGTTGACCATATCTGCACATTTCCCATTACCTCGGTTGTTTGTCATTCATTTTCAGTCAGGTTCGATTCAGTCAGAACATACCATGCGTGGAAGCCTTTCGGGCAGCAGTATGTCGTCTTAACTTTCCCAAGTATGGTCACAACTCTATCTTTGAATCATCATGATTAAATTTTGCAACGTTTATTCTTTCCGAATGCCGACTTAAGAGATCCTGCCTCCATAACTTTTTGTAGCCCATCATATGTGAAAGATGATCGTGTTATATAAAACCGCGCCAAGACATTTTAGTGCATTTCAAGGAAACAAACGACGCTGAATATCTTCCAAAGTCAACTCTGAATAAAACTGTCAAAAACACTGTGGACTTATACACCGACCTATTTATGAGACTCTCTTAACTCATTGGTTATGAAAAGTTATGGGGGCACGGGCCTTTTTAAATCGACATCCTGAGCATCTGTAATTGCTCTCTCGTGACTCAGATGCAACGCCTCCTCTTCCACATCGACAATGAAAGATGAATCCTACGATCTGTGCGCTACGGACTGTCTGCACTACTTCAAGGCTTGCAAATTTGATGAAAAAACCGCAGAGGCGATGTGTTCAACCGGATGGCCCCTGCAGGTTCGCCGATCTTTCCGTGATAGTCTTATCATCTCGAGACCCGAGCATGATGAAACTGAACTATACTTTAACAGCAAGTTCAGAATCTCATTAAAGCATTCTGTATGACATGTTGTTACAACACTGGAGGAGTACATGTTCGCTTTCCTGAGCTGAGCTCGGCAGTTTCCTCGTTAATTTTCGGGTAGAAGTGTACAGAAACCAACAAAAAATTCCAAAATTTTCTCACAATTTTCATATTCTCATCAACACATGTAGTTGACCATGTGCATATTCCCTATTCAGAGTGGACAACCTCCGCCCGAGACTAGATGTACGGGAGCTGCCTCATCTTTGGAAACTACAAACATGATATGGTTGTTGATAGTACTTAGTCTACTGCATGACCAGTACCACTGATTTATTCATTGTGTTGTGTTATAGTATTACACCGAGGCTTGGCTTAACGATGAGTATACATGCATGAACTGACAACCTCTATATGGGGTAACCCCGCTGTATATTAACTCTGAGTTTTGATACGGAATCGTCAGTCGCGTACAGTTGATAGCTAACTATACCTACGACAGCAAACTACTTCCTTCGGGGAGTTGTGTATCGATCTAACCGTACTGTCATCTTTTTACTTTGACCTCACACGCACTGAGTTGGTCCATAGCATAGAGTGTGTTGACTTCTTATATTGTGTCGTAGCCGTCATACAAGATGGTGCAAGGATGTAGACAAGTCGAGAACTTAACTCAACACCCTCGAAGTACTCAACATAACGTTAGCACACAATGCGGCCTTCACGACGGAGATCTTCTACAAGCTGCTTTCCGTCTTTCGAAGAAGTCAAAAAGTCTAATAAATTGCTGATGACTCTGTCGTCTCGATTTCTGTCCAACCTCATTTTCGCCAACCTATACCGCAATGCTGTTGCCTTCTTGCGTAATGTGTATATATCTTCCTCTGTGGCGAAGCTAGTCTGACTGTTACTCGATCTTGCCTTGTATTTGAAGAAGTGGTTGTGGCCCATAAAACTCCTTCGGGGCACGTCGATGAGCTTGGAAACCTCCATACTGCTGATTATCGATTTCTCTCTCTTCTCATTGCCATCATGAGTTTTCGCATCAGCTGTTTGTGTGGTTTCTTTCACGGTGGATTTCGTTGGTGGAGGAGTTTCAAGTGGTTGTGGTGGCGGCGGTCCCAATGTGGATGCTCGTTTGACAATAGGAGGCTTCCAGATGGTGTTCATGGGAGGCTGACCGAAATTGCCGGCGAAGAAGACGGGCACTTGAGGGAACATAATTTCAACTGAGAAACGAACATGATGATGTTAAACCAGTGATAGTAGGACTATTCGAAATCGATCTATAACAAGATAGATATGAGTGAAGTCGCAAGCAACATCTCATCCGATTCAACCTTGCTGTCATACAAGGTACATAGCCGTGCTTATCAACTCCAAGACTGCTAAGGAAGTCTTGGAGGCCCTTCTAGCGTCATCCATACACTGCATTGCCTTGCATATGCTCCAGCTCGCTTTGGATCTACTCTGAATGATCTCTTTTATCAAAGTAACAGTGTAAAGTACACATTTATGCTCCAACAGTCATTTGCTGATCTCCGTGAACTCCACGATGTAATTCTCCAGTGAATATTCTT